GCATCTGTTCTCAAACTTTCCTCTCCCACCCTCACATACAGGGTGTCCCAAACAAATGGGGATTTAGAATTTAGAATTATTAATTTTAAAAAATCCTCGTGACAAGCTTTCATGAGATGAGTGGAGAAATTAAAAAAAGAAAATTTTGATTTTATTAGTAAAAATATTGGACAATGTAAAAAAGACGAACAGCATTTTAAAAATCTCATTACAGGGGTTTTCTTTATTTTATAACTATTTTTGTGTGCGGCATGGATCAAATACATATTTTTTTGAGACACCCCCAAGCTGTCAATATGCTCATACTCAAGCAGTAACATCCCCCTCACTCCTAGTTAAACCAAGGGGGGGGGGTATCCTAGTTATGAATATTATTCACTCTATACCCCCTGATTAAACACATCAGATAATGAAACCAAACAAACATACAACAACACACTTTAATTAGGTCCAATACATTATACATACAGGGTTAACCACAAAAGATGAGACTTAAAGGGAGTGACCGGCTATGTATAGTTGTTGAACTGAGTATGCAGTATTGTTGACAAATTCTTCAGGATTAATTTGAGACATATCAAACTATTCTACGACGTATATTTAATGAGTTTGATCGCAAAGTCGTCTTTCAAAATCTTCTTTTTGGGTGGATAAAATTCGAGAATAGTTTTTTAAAAATTATTAATTAACGACGACAAAAATATAACAAAAGTTCTGCAGTAAACTAACTAGTTGTTTAGGAACAGGTTGAGAAAACAAAAATTAATCTTATCATCGAAAATAAGTAATCTTATTCAATTATTTAGTTTCTATGATCTCTCATTATTCGCGAAGATTTTCTGGAATTTTTATTGAAAGACGAAATTTGACATTTGACGAATTTGTAGAAATCTGCGAACAAATTCATAGAAAATAAGAAATCCAATATAATGATTAAAACGAAATAATCGATTCTAACATTGATTTATTGAGAAATATGTTCCTAAACATCCAATTAGTTTACTGTATAATTTGTACTTTATTTTTCGTCGTCGTTATTTAATAATAAAAAAAAACATTTCTCAAAACGTATCCACCCAAAAAGATGAATTTGAAAGTCGACTTTGCGATTAAACTCAGTGATTATACATCGTAGAAACGTTTTATATGTCTCAAATGAATCCTAAAGAATTTGTCCAAAATACTGCATTCTCAGTTCAACTACCATACATAGCCGGTCACTCCCTTTAAACAATATGTTTTACAATGATATGGAAGGTTTAAATAATATCTCATTTGTTTTCAGAGGGTTAGGTTGAAATTTTGCAACTTGCAGGAACCCGAAATAAAGAAAAAGTTACAAATTAAATCTTTTAAAATTTTTGGACTGAAGCTTGATTTACTACTGATAAGATCGAATTGGTTTTAATAACTTCTTATTTTAATCTAGTTTCTTAGCCTATCCGTGTTCATGGAGCCAAAATGTTGCGGATCAGAATCCGAAAAATATAATAGTCTAAATACTTTTGATAAAAAATAGTTTCAATCAAAAAAAAATATTATTTTATCTGATAGAATTTACTTAAGAAGATCAATGCTGGTTTTCATCTAACAAATAGTAGATAAATATAGTTGTATATTTTTGAAATGAAATCGTTTTATTTTAACAATTCTTTCATTTTGATGCTTTATAGCTGGTACATGATGTTGAAATGTAGTGATTGTTAATAAATTTGAAACTGTAACTTTTAACTGTTGCTCTGAAAGGCGGCCAGTTTTAATCATTCTTAAATTTTGACGGATTTTTCAATTCGAATTGGCGCATTTTCAATTTTTTTATTTTTCCAAGATTTATATTTTTATTTTGATGGTTCATAAACCTTCCCTGGGGTCATGTGAGATCCCATACAAAAGTATAATAATTTACTAAAGGTATGAATATTGGATAAAAAAAAATTTGATCAAATGCAAGAAGTGAACATCTAGTTCGCTACAAACTCAAATTTTCTAATCCCCACATCTTTCCAATCTGATGGTGTAAACCTTTTATATTTCAAACTTAGATTACTTAATCCAAAAGAATATGATATACAATAATATAGGACTAATGAAAATCTGAGTTTGTGGAAAAACATTTAATTTCTTTATTCCTAGATCGACTCAAAGATCACATATTCTTTGGAACATTTGTTTAAAGTTATCAAAATCCAATACTAACCTCTGGGTTTGTAATATTATTCTGTAGCGCGGCATCGTCCAGCAGGTCAAACAACCATTTGACCGGCGCCGGGAAGCTGGGAGGCACTTTTAGGATGGTTCCGAAAAAATCATCCACAAATTTTTGGACGGTACCCTGTAGGGGAATTCTTGTTTAAAAATATTTTCTACCTTGACCCCAAATATTCATCTTGTAATAATTTCAGTGGTTGCAAATATTTCTTAAAAAACAAAACACATTTTTTTTAAATTTTCAAATTTTCTCTCCTCATTGCAGAGGTATAATGTTTTCTATTCTTAATTCATTATATTTTTTTATACCGTCAGCGGAAATCCTTTAGATTCGAAAAAAAGCTATTTTTTCAAATTTGTTTAAACAAGGTTCCTTAGTTGATAGCAGTCTCGTCAGGAATATCTCAGGGATAGATTTATGGGATCGAACAACTAAATAATAAATTGTTAGAAATATGGAACAACTAAATAATAAATAATTAGAAATATTGAGCAACTAAATACTAAATTGTTAGAAATATCGAGCAACCTAATAATAAATTGTTAGAAATATCGAACAACTAAATAATAAATTGTTAGAAATATGGAACAACTAAATAATAAATAATTAGAAATATTGAGCAACTAAATACTAAATTGTTAGAAATATCGAGCAATCTAATAATAAATTGTTAGAAATATCGAAGAATTATATAATAAATTGTTAGAAATATCTAAAAAACCAGAAAACATATTTTGAGAAACTGATAGATGTGTTACAGAAACTCTCTACCTGAAGGAATATGATGAGGTGTATCGGGTTTAACAAAATGATAGAAATTTTCTTGCGTCAGCTGTGGATATCCGTAAATTCCGCCTTGTTGGTTGTATCCGCCTCCTTGTTGGCTATATCCGCCGCCTAGCTGATTATATCCGCCGGTCTGACCATAAGCTCCGCCATGTTGACTGTATACACCCTGGTTACTGGCAGAGTAATGTGTAGGGTAGTTGTACACACTTCCACCCTGTACAGGAGAGGCGGTACCGTACACACCCTCTCTACCCACCACACTTACAGCCTTCAATACACAGATATATATATAGATAGATGGATAGATACTTCAACGGATAGATATATATATATATATGGATAGACGGATGGATGGATAAATAGATTGATAAGATATTTAGAAAGATAGATGGATGAATAGATAGATGGATGGATCAGTGGACGGATAGATAGATATATAGATAGATTAATGGACCAATAGATAGATGGATAGAAACATAGATCAATAGTCGGATAGATAGATAGATAGATGGATAGATCAATAGTCGGATAGATAGATGGATAGAAATATAGATCAATAGTCGGATAGATAGATAGATAGATGGATAGATAAGTATTCTTTATTAATGATTTTTAATAAATGAATTACTTAACAATAAAAATATTAATTACTATGGAACTTACAAGTTATTAAGCCGAGAGCGTGTAGCAGTGGTGCTAATTATTGTCAATTAATTATAAACGGTAATATTTCCCCCCCCTTTTTATTAAGTCTGTATTGAAGGGGACCGGTGCTATGGTAGTAATAATAAATAGAGCGACTAATCC